TATATGAAGGGTGAAATTATCTCAATTGCTTTCTTGCTTGTCTCGGTGATACACTGGCATTAATCTGTGCGCAGATAATATAGACAGAAGCAGGAACATGAGGAATAAACAGCTTTGAAAAACATCATAGTAACAGGGTGAGGTTAAGGCACCTGGCAAAAAAAAAATTACACGTAAAATAAACCAGAAATCACCTACAATGGAGGAGAAATAAAACTTATTTTACTTGGCAGTTATCATTCATTCTTATTTTGTAAAGCACCTTTTTTTAAAAATCCTGGTTGAGCTTTGACCTCATGACTCATTATGTTTTATGAAATGGCTCATTACAAATAGAGATAAACTACAACACTTTGAGGGACAAAAACAAGGGGACGTCGAGCTCRGCTTGCATTCACTACATACACACGACACGACACCTAAGAACCACAGCATCCAAACCAATTAGTCAGGTGATGGGACACATGACCCTCTACGAACAATAGAGCTAATCAAGCCTATTGTTAGGCAATGGCCCTCTTTTGCATGTGACTAACCTGTTTGTCCATGTGGAGGCAGTGCTTATAAAGCTGAGTTCACCTGAAACTCATCAGACTGAAGAAGTCTCTTGGAGGAGAGACGAAACGTTTCACTAAAGAKGAACCCATCCAGAGGACCTACTTTTTTTTCTTTTTGATACAACACTTTGAATTTCTTTCTTTTAATGCTTGCTGAATTACCCCAGGGCTTGTAAGAAGAGAGATCTGAATCTGTTAAGGAAATGCTGGCTTAAGTGTTAAAGATTGGGAAGAAAAGCCGTTTTTACTCTGCAGATGTGGGCATTAGGACATTCCGAGACGTTGAAATACCATTAAGTTGCAGACAAAACGGTTATCAAATACCCAGCTGACAGCTTCAGCTGCACATTCCATATYAATCATATTTTATGTATAAAATATTTCTATCTTGAGATGTGTTAARGTAAGACAGCTGCATCCCCATCCTCCCCTCCAGCACCGTGAAAGCTCAGATAATTCATGTGGACACGGTCAAAATGTGAGCAAAATAACTTCTGTGCTCGTGAACATATTGCGCTGGTCATCAGCCAACTGTCAGCTGTTGGTGATCTGAGGGAACTGAATAGGAAGTGTCTGTGCTCTGGTTTGCTCACGCTGCTAAACAGAGCTCTGTGGTCCAGGGAGAGCTGGAGGCACAGTCCTGTGCTGCTCGGAGAGGATAACGCAGCAGAATGGTTGGCCCCCGGGCCTCAGCAGGGCACTGCACGGCCTTAAGTGCTGGCATGAGACACACACACACATGCACTCACACACACACATGCACACAGCATGTCTGTGCATGAGATGCTCCCAAAATATTTCTCCGACGAGTGCTTTTTGTTTTCAGCCGGCGTGCATCTAGAGGCTCGCTTGGGTTCCTCCCTTATGACAAAAGCGCCAGGAGGAGGCTGGGCTGCAGGAACACGAGGCCACTAAAACAGAGAAACCCACTTACTGTAGTTGTCCAGCAAACTAGGTCACAGTTCTGTCAAGTATGCAAGGAGAAATTCGAGGGGAGCGAGCACACACACGCGCGCACATCGGTGTGCAGCTCGTACACAAAATGTGCACATGTCCAGGGAGGGAGAGACAGAGCAGGAGGGCCCAAAGAGGAAATACAAGAAGTGGCTCGTCTCTAATAAATTCAATCATGGGAGATAATTCCATCAAAAGCGCTCAGGACTGGGACTTTATTGTATTTGAACATTTGTTATCTGGTAAAACTCACTCATGTGACACCCAAATGAAGTCAAATATACACCTGAAGCTATCAAGCAATTTAAAGTTAAAATTCCTTGACTGAATGTATTTCACTCCCCTGCTTTTCACGGCAGAGTTCTAATTTAAGAACCGTGTAGGTAGCATTTTATAATAACTACATCTTCTTTGGCCTTACTTAATCATTAGTTAACCTTGAAAACATCATTAATTAGGGATGATTCATACTTAATAAGCAATAAATTAAGATGTTTTAACATTTTCCCCATAAATTCTTATTACTTCAAAAACAAACATAATCATAGCTTATACATGCTTAATAACGTATGAATTTACTTCCCAATTTACTGTGAGTGTATGTATYGAAATCCTCATATAGTTTCATAGGGTTTATGAKGGGGTCCCTGGAATTTTTTTCACCCTTGTAAGGGGTCCCCAGACCCAAACGGCTTGAGAYCCCCTGGGTTAGAGAATGTTTAGTTGTTGTTTTTTGTCAGTTCAAATTGGTTGTATATATACAGTACATATATACACACATTACAAACACATAAGTACACACAAATACACTCCATAATATCTTCATATATAGCAGAAATAATCATTATAWTAATGATAATAATAATAATCAGACACCAGTGTCCCTCTCTCCTGTTCCACAGTTTTATTCCACCAATGGAAACACAAAAACCTTTACGAGTTGTATAAAAAATGTTGTTTGAGCTATCTACTAATCCGGCAGCGCATTAATAGCTAAGGCAGTTGTTAGTAGTTGGTTAAGTCTTT